ATTTTACTTTCAGTTGCCCATTGCAGTCGTTTCTTTGAAGGAAACAGATACTAACCATGTTTTTCTAATAACGAGCCTTCTGCCAACTTCATGCATGGAGGTATGTAAGGCGTAAATTTTCAGTTACCCGATTTTGCTTTTGATCATTCCAAAGAGAGATTCTTGTTTTTAATGCCAATACTATTGCGATAGTCAAGAATTGCCTTTCTAGAATACATGGCTATCAGAAAATTCTATCTCATTAGTAAAATGCCACTATGTAGACATACCCAGTTACCATAGCAGTCAACGGATTCTCCATCTGAGGCACTGGTAAGTACCCTGAGCCAAGCTGTGTTACCTATTTGAATATTTGTTATAAGTAACGAGGGCCTATTGGTCCTTAACAAGTTTTATTTTGTTTCTTAGTAGTTTCCATTTTTTCACCCTAATTTATTAGCTGGTTGTAATGTCTCAACAGGAATTCTCTAGTCAGGAGTAAAAATGAGAAGAAGACCCATTTTCAGATTTTTAGAGGTTGGCACCTATGTCTTAGGTAGTAGCTAATAAGTCTTTCTTGGTGACTTGGGGAAGGACAAGTGATAATACTAAACATGTAAAATTTCAAATAACTGAGCGAAGCGTTACTCATAGGACAACGTACATAGTAACCTCTACCTGAGTACAGTATGAATCCAGTAGGGAGATGAGGTGGTAAAATCATGTGAATCTGTATGTCACAGCTATATATTTTTTCTAACTGTAGAATAGTTCTCATCCAATAAGCCATGCTAATATACTTGACTCAGGAATTAACTCCTGTAGGAGGATTCTTCCCTCTGGCTTATGTCTTACTTATACCCAGAGACACTGTCTTGTCCTGCAGCTGCCCCAGGTGTTTTGCTATAACACATACTACTCTGCAGTGTTACTTAAACAATAATTTACTGTTGGTTTCATTCCCTATTACAGCCAAAGTGATTTATTTTAAAACAATACACACAAAAAAATGTCTAGATCATTTCCAAGGAACATGTTAAGTGGTCCCCTGGCCTAGAAGGAAACACGAGTCTCCCAGTTCTTCCCACTGGACTTGATGGACATTGGTCTTCATTCCGTCCCTTCAGGACCAGTTCACAAGTTTGCCATCTTAACTGCGTATTAGAATCGCTGTGGGCACTTTGCAGAGTACTAATGCCTGGGGTCCACCGCGAGACTTTAGGATTGCATTCATCTGCTGCATAGCCTCGGTGTTTAAAGCCCCAGATGCTTCTACTGTGCAGTCAAGGGTCACAGTCACCTCTTAAGGATTACCACTTAGATCAAACTCATGTGGTAACGCGGGTCATCTGTCCTCTGACTAATTCTAGAATGGAATATCGCCATCTATCCAGTTTCTGCTATATGCCAAATTCAAAGTAAGTTAGCAAAACTCTTTGGAAGTCCAGTCTCTAGAACTTTTTGCTTTGTGTATGTGATAAAAGTAGCAGTTTCTCAACCCTGCTGGATGAAATAGAAAACCTAAACACCTTATTAAAAATCCAACCCTCCTATTGTGATTGCTATTTGTAAAGTAAACAGTCTGTATTGTTAAAGTTAATGGAGAAAAAGAAGGATCCCACCTGAGGTAATCAAGATACATTTAATCTCTTACATTCGTCTCTGTCCTCTAAGTGAGAATTCAGGGTTCGCTTTTTGATGTTTCTTCGTGAATGAAATGCACTAGCTATAGCCTTGTACTTCTTGTGTATGAAATGTGAAACAGGTCATTTTAGCATCTTTGTCCCAGGGTGTCAGCAACCTGCCTAACCCAGTAATTCCCAACTGAAGTCTGACTATCCCCATTCTTTCCATTCCAGGTAGCAATGAGATTTTAATGGCCAACAGTTTGAATTTCCTGAGTCGCTTATCTGCCTTGCACTTGGCACTAAGCAGGAAGAATTGTTCCATTACACTTAAGAAGTGAGAAAAACTGCTGAAATTAGCTAGCTAATTCTAATTCTTGAGAGAAATTTGTGTTTAAGAGGAAGTTCAAATGTAGCACTCTCTCCTCTGAGAATTCTTGACCCTGTGGAAAGGTTTGTTCATAAATTACCTACAAAAAATTGTTCACTTGAACTTCAAATATATGTGTGTGGAGGTTAAGGCAAAGGTTGATTACTGCAAATGACTGAATTAGTGCATTTCAATAAAGTAGAATAAAGGCCTGGCTATTTGCTGAACATGTAACTGTTGCAATGTCAGAGAAAATGCCTTTCATGCCTTAGGAAAACTCACTGAAAGCTTCCTGTTAGTGGGTAGAGTGAAAAGGCAATAATAGTTTGGGGACTTGCTTCCAGAAAGAGTAGCTAGCTCCCAGGCCTTCTGATACTGAAAAAGAACATTGTGGAATACTGTGAAACTTTCCTGAATTTTATGCAAATCTTTCTGCACTGGATTTTAAGATTTTTGATACAGGAATAAAGGAACAGGATGAGAATAAGGAAGTAATGGTAAAAGAAATACATAAATCTGTACTTTATTTTAAGCAATGAATGCCACAAACACCTACAGGAATTCCCTATCAGGACTGTGAATTTCAGTCAGGTTCTTCTGCCCTAGTGGGTTAACTTGCTGATTCTTCTTAAAGCTCTAGAAAACTCTTTCTGAAATAGCTAAATAAATCCAAGTCTAACAAAGTTTCACCACCTTATCCCTTTTCCCGACCCTCAAAAAAAAGGTCCTCGAACTGTAGACCAAGGAAATGTGTTCTGTCGCATCCCATTGCCTTTGTATCTGCTTGGTTCTGTGGTCACAATTTTAGCCCATTTTTTTGTGATCTGATGGTAGAACGTAAATGGGTTTGCCAGTTCAATCAGCAACCAGTGGCTTGTCCTTTAGATGATCCTAAAATTGAAGTCTGAATTTAGCATGTCAGCATACCCGGGAGAGCACTTAGATGGCCTGGCTCCTCATAACTTCAGGGTGGGACCCATGCATGCTTTGCCTCTGAGAGAAGGCGGAGGGTCCAATAACAGAGAAGTCAACGTAGCAGAAACTTGGTTTCCTTCAGATAAACACTGTCTGAAAGAGACCTAGCCAACTGTTCTCTTTGGTGCTTATATGATGGGTGATAGCTGTCCCCATCTACCTGTCCCTGGCACTGTGCCTTCCCACTGGTCACTGTGAAAAATAGACCACACTGGACTCGGAGGCCAGAATCCAGGACAAGTGCCCCCTTCTCATCTTGAGCCCATCGCTTTGTCAGACAGTAGTAAATGTAGCATATACTACTACTTGGAAAACTCTGGGGTCACCCCTCCTCCCAAGAAATAATGAATCGTTAATGGAAAATAGAAAGTAAGATTCTAGTGGTGGTAGCTATCAAATGAAGAGATCATAGGAAACTCTCACTTCCCCTGAGCGGGTATGAATTGATAGCAAGCATTAACTGTACCCACCTCTTTGTGAGTTTTTAAAGGCATAGTATTTGTAAGCCGCAAGCCTATCCAACAGCATTTTTTTACCATTTGGTAATCAAGAAGGACTCATTAAAACAGACAATCAATTTCTAAAATGTCGTCATCCCTGAAAGGGATAGAGTATTTTTAACTGGTAGAACTTACCAGTCTGTATTTTCCCTTTGAAAAAGCTAACATTTGAGATTTGTATCTTTCATCTGAAGCGATTACTCCATTGAAGATGCAGCAGAAAAAAAGTCAGCTAGCCAGTGGTGAGCCAGTGTAGCACTCGTGCACCACTGAAGCCAGGGGCTGGACTGAGTTTGTGCATCTTGTTTCGTTAGAGAATATGTGTTTTATTATGACCCTAACTATAAATAAATATATATATGAATAGGATTTTCTCTCACTCCCCCCTTTTAATCATTATCACTTAAGTATAAACCACCACTTTTACCTACTCCCTTTTCTGGGGGGAAAAATGCACTTTAATTCTTTAAAAAAAAAAAAGGCGGCTGTTCTTGGCGCTGAAGCCAGATTACTTCAGGAGGAGAGTTGGGGAAGGAGACCTTGTCAGAGCTTGTAAAATTAACCAAATTCCTCAATGTGAACATACAAATATGAGCATTCATTTTAAATTCCTTTCAACCCCTGGCAAGGGAGGCGGTAGGGGAGAAGCAACCAAAGTTAAAGTGTTTTCGAAATGCCTACCCCAATTTTGGAAGTTTCACTGGGGAAACACCCAATATTAAGGGTTATTCTCAGCTACCAAGTTGTTAGAAACATCGGAGGAGTCTTATGGGAGGCTGCTTGGGTCTTCGTGATGAAGAAGGCTCGTGAAAACACCGAGGCACTCGCTGTGTCACTCTCCTGGCTGGTGTCATTCTAAATGTTGGATTTGCTCTCGCCCTGATTTTGACAGGTGTCCTCAATCTCTCCTCCTGTAGCGGCTGCCCTGCCCCTGATGACAAGTCCTTGGTGGGGTTGCATGTCTCCCAGAGCCCCAGGAGCCCTTTTGTGTCGGGGGAGGGGGGAGGTCAGGAGGGCAGAGAATTGGGGTTTGGGGGAGGGAGGTTCAAAGAAAGAGTGAAGATATGGATTTATATGAACATATTTAAAGCAGTTTAGCAAAAGCTTTCTCTTTGAACAGCTTTAAGAACAATGTGAATGAAATCTTTAGCAACTTGGTTAGTAATCTGAAAAGTCTATTAATGTATACTTGAAAATCTGTTTGTATAAAAATGCATTTTTCTCTTTATTTTAACACTGTGTAAAAGAACATTATGCATGTGAATGGTTTGAGAATTAAATGGTTTAATACTCAATTTGGAGTGTATTCTGAGCCTAAAGACTGATGTGTTTGAAATGTGATAGGGTACTGAAAATTCACACGGGCCCTGCCCTTTCAACGTGCCTGTTGTCTTCCATAGTGAAGCACCAGGATATCTCCCACCCTCACTTTCTTGACCCAGATGTGTTCACTGGGTAGAAATCGACTGGGAACAACATTTTACAAAATGCCCTAATAATTCTTTCTTGGATTTTTAATTTTATTTTTCTCCAAGCAGCGTCCTTTCGTAATTGTGATAAGAGAGTAGCTTTATTTATTTTTACTTTTATTCGCAAACCGGAATAAGAAGAAGTGCAAAGAATAAGAACAGATTATTTAACATCAGGGTTAGCTACCCTGCCCATGAAGATAATAGTATTCAAAGCAACTTCCCTTATAAAAACTAGGAAGGGCCTGTTGGCCTTGAACGTCACCCTGTGAGGATTCAGCGAACGGCCAGCAATCCCGATGGTGGTACTGGCTGCTGCTTCACTGCCCTCCTCGTTTACCTGCCAGTCACATGGGAAACAAAACCACGTTAGCTACGCCCTAGTTCTTTCGAGACAGGAAAATCATCCACACCTGACAGTTCCCCAAAATGCTATTTGTTTTTAGATACACCGGGGTCAAGTTGGGTTCCTGCCAGGTCCCTACTCTTACTCCTTCATCGAGTGAACTGATGAAAGCACTTGTGTTGGAGAAATAAGTACGACGCCCGATTCAGATGACTCCAGAACTAGAAATCTGGACACACGTAAGGTTGCCACATTTCTGACTGGCACCATTGTGCATGGTATTAAAACCCTCCCCACAGCCCCTTCTCCCAAAAAATAATAATAATAAAGGAACCCTGGAGGGCACGGTAAGGTAAGCGGTCGTCAGCTAACCAAAAGGCGGGCAGTTCAAACTCACCAGACACTGTACAGGAGAAAGATGACACTGTTCCCATAAAGATTTACAGTTCATGGTACTACATGAGGATTGTTTTGTATCTGCCTCTGAATGGAAATGTACCTCAAACTCAGGACACCAAAGTTGAGGTAGTTTTACTCTTGAAATACCAGGATCCCAGGGATCACTCTTCCCAGCCAACCACTCAGGACCCTAGGGCCCATGAAAAGAGAAAAGCCCTCTCCCAGCCAACCACTCAGGACCCTAGGGCCCATGAAAAGAGAAAAGCCCTCTCCCAGCCAACCACTCAGGACCCTAGGGCCCATGAAAAGAGAAAAGCCCTCTGGCTGTGTGAGAGAAGGCTGTGTTTCTTGGAGTAACAGCCTTTAACAATTCTATTTTAATTAGACTAATAAACAGATCCACCATTAGGACTAGAGAGGGAGACCTTCAAAAACACTTTCCTTGGAGACCTAGAATCGGTACCATTCAGCTGTTCAGTGAAAACGCTTTCCATCTCTGAGGTTTGTGGAGCTGGGTAGACATGTTCTCCCTCTCCTACCCCACCCCACTTTTCCTGCTGCCTGCCTAGCTCCTGATTCTTTTAAGCCCAAGTATGTCAGCAGACTAGGTCTTTCACATGAGTAGAATTGTTTTTATTCAAACCAGGGCCTGGTGTAATTTATAAAGGCTTCCCGGGAACCAATCAATTGGGGTCTCAGAGATGGGGTTCACAAGATTTTTAAGGAAAGCAATTTTGTTTCAAGTTCTATAGAGGAATCATGGGTCATTGTTTAATGGATTTCAGTTGGCTAAAATGAGTTCAGACCTCTGCTGCACTCTAAATGCAACTCAAAGTCCTCAAGGTGATTTCTTGGGGTCCTTAGAAGGGCATATTCCATGATAGTTAAAACCCTGCATTTACGGTTTTAACACCCTGAAAACTCAACCTCCTTTGCATTATTCTTGAGTAATCTTTCAAATATCTCCATCTGGAAGGGAGTACTAGCGTTGCCCCATTTATTTCTAGGATGATTAATCCATTGGAGCATTCACAGAGCCTCTTGTTCTCATTACCTTGCAGAAGTCCTCAAACTATGGCCCGCGGGCCACATGCGGCCCACTGAGGACATTTATCCGGCCCGCCGGGTGTTTTTGCCACTGCTGCCTGTCCTGCTTAGGAGCTGACTCGTCCAGTGTGCATAGGAAATTGTTCATAGTTTTTTTTATAAACTATAGTCCGGCCCTCCAATGGTCTGAGGGCAGTGAACTGGCCTCCTGTTTTAAAAGTTTGAGGACCCCTGCCTTAGAGATTGTTGTTGACATCATTGTCCTACAAGTTATATCCCTACTTTGAAGGTTTGGCACCTACCTTACAGCCTTCTTATTTACACCCTGACATTATGTGACTTATCTAATTACAACATCTTTATAGGAAATGCATTCAACATGATTCGCTTCCATTTCTTTTCCCGTCACCCCACCAGGCCCAGGACTACACATTAGACTTGCTATTTTTTTTAATCTGTTCTACCATTGAGATTATGATTACAGTATCCTCTCAAGCTATAACCTTGTTTTCCAAACTATTGTACTTTTTGACCCTCCTTAATGTGTTCTCTTCCTGATCCTTGATCCCTCACTTTCCTCCTAACCTTGAATCTCCAACTGAGTTTAGACCCTGAATCTGTACTTCGGAGCTCCCTGTTCAGAAACCTTTCTCTTTGACTTTGACCACCTTTCCTCAGTTCTGCAGCCTTCTCTAACACTGACACATCTCACTGCCTCCGCTGCCTGGCTCTCCCCAATGAAGGATCTAGTCCAGTAGTTCTCAAATCCAGTTGTGCATCAGAATTCCCTGAGGAGCTTTGTGAATATAGAGATATTCAGGCCTCACCCAATACTCTCCAAGCATGTGTCAGGCTACTGAGATCACTAATGCTGGTGGGCCATATTCAACTGCTATCCAGTCGATTCCGACTCCTAGCGGCTTTATAGAACAGGATCCAACTGCCCCTATGGGGTTCCAAGACTTAACTCTTGATGGGTGTAGATAAGAGTGGCTGGTCAGTCCAAGCTGCTGACCTTCTGGTTAGCAGTTCGGCGTGTAGTCCAGTCTGGCACCAGGGCGCCCCCGCCATAGGAGTACCTAAGTTTGTATTTGTTTGAAAACCAGAAGTTCCAAAGGCTGTATTAGCCAGTATTCCAACCAAGGATTCCATGAGAATCAGTTGGGGGAACATTGGGTTCAATGATACTCAAAAGAGTTTTCTTCGATTTGCACAGCATGTATTGCTAATCTCCCAAGAAGAGGATATAGATGTATGTGACTACCTAATTTTTTTTGGTTTTCTGCAGTGTAGTAGAGTTCACTAGTTCTCTCAAACATACTTTGGGACAATGACACACTCCCCAACTGCCCATTATTCTCTCTTCAGCTATTACCATTAGGCACATGCCCCACTATTCAAGCTAAATTCTTCAAGGTAAAGTCACTTTCTAGGTACTTCCCATTAAAGCTTGTTCTGAGTTCTTAGGACTCCATACTCTTCTGGTTCTCCACCTCCACTAACTTGCTTCTCAGTGGCCCTTCCTAGCATCCTCTGCCATCAAATCGATTCCAACTCATAGTGACTCTGTAGGCTGGAGTAGAACTGCCCTGTGGTAGTTACATAATTTCACGTCAACCTGAAGATAAATAAAAGTGTAGGGTGGTATTCAATCTGTCAATGAGATTAGAGCTTGATGGTACCTCATTGTGGACGAGACTTTCTCGTTAGGAGGACCCTAGGAACCTCCTCTCCTCTCTACCTTCACCTTCCTGCTTGCTCACCCTCATAGCTGCCAGAGCCCTGGAGATGTTACCACTGCCATTGGATCCACACGACTTTGCACCCACCAACCTGTGATATTTCTGCGTTCTGCATCATTGCATGTGGCTGTGTGAGTCCGAAGAGGGACTTACGGACTAGTATCAGACTGACGGACTTAAGTTGGACTGGGATATGATTAATAATAAATAATCTCAATAATTCTTGATATAAAGCCCTTTAGTCAATCTGGCCTAACACACCCCTTTGGGTTTCTGGAGGCTGAAAAGACCACCAGATCGCCTCATCTTTCTCCTACAGAGTGACGAGTGGAGTCTAACTGCTGACTTGTCAGTTAGTAGCCCACTGCATAACCCACTACACTGCCAGGACTCAATTGAATAATGAAGTGGAGGAAGAAAGGCAGTAGAGGAAGAGAGCAAAGGAGGGTGTGCTTACCTCGAGAAATGCTTTATGGAATGCATCTGAGACATAGAGATCATTCCGGCCTTCCGCAACAATACCTGGAAGGAAGACCAGAGAAGGCTCCATGAAATGGGAGAAAGTTGGCTTCAACCCACAGACAGATAATTCACTTTTAATTAAAAGGTCTTTGGGGGGTTTTGGTGAACAATAGGAGGAAATCCTGGACCCTTACCTAATGTCACTCTCAAAATACGAACATGTGCTACAAATAATAAAGTACTTTGGACTGAAGTTCAGCCTGACTCTTGTGAGTTTATTCTCATGCTTCACCTGTTCTGGTGGAATTCTATGCTAGAGAAAAATTTACTCCATGTAGTTGGATTATCTTTCAACTCTTAAAATATAGTAACATTTTCCCCCATCCCTCCCCTCCAATATAGTAACATTTTTCAAACCTAGCCCATATTGAAAGGTAAGTTTAATTAACTATAAACTTTTTTAAAAGCTATTTTAATATATTTTTAAAGGATTGGACCCCAGAGGAACCAAACCAATGAAATATCATTACTGAAGTGTACCACAACTTGGTAAAGGTTGGATGTTTCTGTCCAAGTTTCCTAACGAACCCATGAGGACCCTTTGAAATTTAAATAGAGGGTAATTATTAAATGTCAGCTCTGCCTGTTTTGAGGTACCCACATGTCCCCAGCTCTTCATCTTATCTCTCTCTCTCCTCTGCATTCTAATTCCTTCTCGAATTTTCACCCGGCCCCATCTTCTCTCTGTTGGGCTGTGGAGATTCTTGAGCTACACCCTCCTCTCCCCACTTTTTACAAATGTCGAAACTGAGGCCTTGAGAGAAGAAATCCTCCTCCTGAACAGAAGAAGTATGGTTAGAATTCAGGTTTCCTGATGGAGTCATCTTTTCTTCTCATTCTCCTCCAACTCTTCCAGCCTTGCTCAGACCAGTTTGGGTGCAAAGATAGCAGGAATGCCCTTCTTTCACTAACCTGGGAGCTTGGCCTTTTCAGGACTGAACAGGTCCACTAAGCCCATGTCTTGCAGCCGCTCCTTCACACTGAAGCGGTCCTCGAGACGGAATCGGGGCATGTAGACCACCAGCATTGTCTCTTCTAGCTCATCCAGCCACTCCTGGAGCACTTCCGGGGTGAGTTCCTGCTCTACCTTGGCCAGGCTCTTCTCAGGCCTGGGCAGGATGAGCACCATGGTGATGTCCTCGCCCTTGAAGGGCAGCTCCAGCACCTGGGTGCCTTCTGCCACTCGTCGGAAGCGGAACTTGCCTTCCTGGTACATCAGAGATACTGAACTTGACTCCCCATTGGCCTTGTAGAACAACTCATTCCTTGTGTTCGCAGGGCTGAACTTGGACTTCCACAGGCCCTAGAAGAAGAGAACAGGTGGGAGAATTACAAACCAAGAACAAAAATATCTATGATGATGATGTTAGGTGCCATCGAGTCAGTTCCAACCCCTAGAGAACTTATGCACCACGGAACGTGACACACTGCCTGGTTCTGCACCATCCTCACGATTGCTCCTATGCTGTTCTATAGGGGAAGACATATGGACACAGAAAATCTTTACATTCTATTATTACATATGTATACCTATATATAGTAAGATGGGCAAGACCTAAAAGGATATATACAAAAAGATTAAGTGACTGTGTCAGAGTGATGAAATTGTAAGTGGGCGTTTATTTATATTTTTATGCTTCCCCCAGGTTTTCAGTGGTAACTTGTTTTTGTAATCAGAAATATAAAAACTGAAAATAAGAACAACTTTCAAGTCTCTTCCTGTGTTTAAATCTAATTGCCTTTGCTTTCTGCCTCCCATCAGCCTCCTCCCCAAGGGCCAACCTCCAAAGTGCCTCAGAAGAATAAAGGCCAAATACAGATGATAGTCCCAGGGGGGTCATCTAGAAGCTGACTTGCTGTTCAGCGTGGGAGGGACCCTGTGATATAAGTCAATCGAATTGGGCTGCTGGGGGTTACCAGTTCGAAAACCACCAGCGGCCCCAAAGGAAAGAGACAAAGCTTTCACTTCTAAAGATTTACAGTGTGGGAAACCCACAGAGGCAGCTCTACTCTGTTCTAGAGGTCGCTATGCTCACAATTGACTCAGTTCAGTGAGTGTGAAATTTCAGAGTTGAAATGATCATTTCTTGCTACTTTCTAGCTCTTTGATTTGGGGACAAATCATTTAACTACTCTAAGTATTAGTAGTTGAGCTATAAAACCAGGAGCCAGTAATAGCTAATACTTGTCAAACACTTACTCTGCGCCCACAGGAGAAAGATGAAGCTTTCTACTCCTGTGCAGAGGTCCAGTCTCAGACCCAACTTGGGGTGGGGGGGGGGAGGCTTACCCTGTGCTGTCGGATTACTGTGAGTCACAACGGACTAGATGACATGGCGTTTGGTTGGGTTTTACTATGAGCCAGGCACTGCTCTACGGATCTTGCAACAACTAATTCTGTCCTCCCAACAGTTATTTTTATCATGACCACTATTTTATAAATACAGAAAATGTGTCATAAGAAAAAAAAAGGCTCAGGTAGATTATCTCAAGTTCACAGGTCAAAAATGAAAGTCAGGATTTTATCAGATTTAATCAGAAGGATGCACGATCTGACTGGTGAAGGTGGAAGGATCAAGAGGACTAATAAATGCTGAAGTGTTCTGTAAGCTGTTAAGGGCAATACAAATTGTAAGGCAGCTTGTGTCATTCCTGGGGATCTGGAAACCCCAAGAGACAGCATGGTTAGGGACAGCAGTTATGGACTAAACACTTGGGGCCCGTGGAAAGGAAAAAGACAGAACATGTCCCAGGATGGACTAATGGGCCACACTTCCTCTGCTGTAAACTGCAGCCTTCCTGAGTGTCGATGTTTTGAGGGGTTGTTATTCCCACTCCCCTCTCCTTATCCTCCTTTCTAGAGTTGCTATAAAAGTGGCTCTAGATAACTGAGAAAACCTCAGGATTGTCAATAGCCTCTATCATTTTATTCTAAATGTCAAAGTAGAGTCAACCAGACTCAGAACTTGTCACATGTATACGAGAGTTTATACCATGCACACTTTGAAGCCAGGCATGCTGGGCGTCTCCAGGCCACTGTGAGTACCTTGAAGTAAATGGTGTTGACCAGCACCAGCACGGTGAACTCGTTGATGGCATCCTGAGGAATGACGTCGGTGATGCGCCCTTCAGTCTTGTTGGCTATCCAGTTGTTGATGGTCATCCTGGACTGCTCTGCATTTTCCTGAGGAAGACAGAAAACAGATCGAGCCACCGGTGCTGTTCAATCACATATCCGCGCAGCATTGCATTTTCCTCGTTGGCTCAGCCCTTGCCACACATTTCATTAAGAAGCCATCAATCTGTACACTAGTACAGTTAAGAGCTGGTAACACAGGGAATCCAGGACAGATGAACCCCTCAGGACCAGTGGCGAGAGTGGCGATACCGGGAGGGTAGAGGGAAGGTGAGGTAGAAAGGGGGAACCGATAACAAGGATCTACATATAACCCCCTCCCTGGAGGACAGACAACAAAAAAGTGGGTGAAGGAAGATATCAGACAGTGTAAAACACAACAAAATAACAATTTATAAATTATCGAGGGTTCATGAGGAGGGGTGAGGAGGGAGGGGAAAAATGAGCTGATAACAAGGGCTCAAGTAGAAAATGTTTTGAGAATGATGATGGCAATGAATGTACAAATGTGCTTGACACGATGGATGGATGTATGGATTGTGATAGGAGTTGTACGAGCCTCCAATAAAATGATTAAAAAAAAGAAGCCAACAACCTAGCCCAAACTGAGAAAACTCACAATAACTCGTATGAGTCTTTGCATATAGTTAATGAGTATATTAACAGAAGGAAAAGAAACAAAAGAGAAAGAAGAAATAAAGGAAAGAATAGAAGAAAGGAGAAAACAAGCTGAGAAAAAGACAAAGTATCTTCTCTGATTTTGGAAAACTGCAACTCACTGGAGATTTCCAAACACGTTCCATGAGAAGCTGATGGAGATGGAGGGGTAGAGGCCAGGTGGTCGGAAAAGCTTGGGAATGCTGACGGAATAAAGTCAGCGGGTGCCTTCATAGGACTTCTCAGAACACTTAATAGGTTTATACACTTTATGAATCTCCAAGAGGAGGCAGGAACATGCAGCGAACACCAATTGTATTTAATTGTGGTGGTTATTAAAATATGTATGGAGCTGGCATTCTGAGAATGCTCTGTAGAATATGTTTGAATTTGGTATGTGAAGTAAATATCAAACATTTTCAGAGCAGCCATTATAATCTAAGTAAGCCATGTTGTTGGCTGCTGTTAGGCTAGCTCCTACTGATGGCAGCCTGAAGAACAAGCCCAAGTCCTGGCTCAAGTGGGAAGAGAACGCTTTGAAAATGATGATGGCAGCATATGTGCAAATGTGCTTGACACACTGGATAAATGTATAGATTGTGATAGATGTAAGAACCCCCAATAAAAGTATTTCATTTTAAAAGAACAAGCCAAACCTTGCCTGGCTTGGTACATTTGAGTCCATTGTTAGGGCTGTCCTGTCCATGCATCTCAGAGATTTTCCTCCTTGTTGGTGATCCTCTACCAAATCTCAACCGTAGATACCATTGATTTCTCAGGTTTCAAACAAGAATCAGTAGCCCAGGGGCTGAGACTTGTAGTTCCCCTCTCTATCAGCCCTAGCATGGCTCTCCTCCGCCCTGCGTCTCTGCTTCCTCAGTCTCTGGTTCGAGAGGAAGAACTCTGAGATAAGAGATGACCACTCACCTTGAAGTCTAGGGGCTGGAGCTTGGCTCCATACACAGCTTCACTGAGGTCCTGGTAGGTTTCATTGAAGGTGAGTGATTTGTCTCCAAAAAGGCGGTTGGCAGCCACCAACTCAGAAGATTTGTTGGCTTTTCTGTAGAGTCGGCAGTTGAGTTTGGCAAAGAAGAAGTGGATCTGGTTAGATGTTTTCTCGGAGATGGTATCAAACTTAAACACCTAGAGAAGCCAAACCAAAATGGCAGTGAATTTGGGGGGCAGTCTGACTCACGGGGGTGCTGAATTCCATGGCAGTCACTATCTGACCTCCAGCCACCTCGGTTGTGAGCTCCTCCAAGCACCATGCCTGGCACAGCATAAAGGCTCACTTCGCTGATGGTTCTTTGAGTGGATAAATGAGGGGAAAAGAAAGAGCGGGATGCCATCTAAAACCCCTACAGGGCTCTTGTCCAACACTTGAGATGTTTCCTTGCTGCAATGGGGAAAGTGCTGTTGGTAGTTCTGGGAGAGGAAGCAAAGGGAGTCCCTTCTGAAACCACCTCCAGGCCAGCTACAGGGGTCAACTCTTCTCCAGGACTCTGGCTGGTCGGGATGAGAAAGAAGAGCTGTCCCGGCAGCAGAAGATTAAATAGGCCCAGAGTTTAGTGTGGAAAAGGACTTAAAAATCATCTATGCTAGCCATGGCCACCTGGAACTCACACCCCAGTCTCTCACCATCACTGCCACGAAGGAAACATGGGCGAAGTTGCTCTTTCCCTTTTGCCCCTCCCATCCCTCCTGTTCCTCTCCCCTCCCCCACACGCTCAGGCAAAAGTGCTCATTTTTACCTCCAGTTTGTAATTCCTCTAGGATGATGTCTTCCCAAAAACTTGTTGCTGAATTATTCCCTTTCATCTCATTCATACCCTACTTTTCCAACACATAGCATTTTGTTCATCTCTTCCACAGGAGAGGAAGACCTACAGAGCATGATTAACTTGGAAACAGTATTCCACTTTTGCCCTTTGTATAAGGAAGGGTCATCTCTCTTGTTGACAGAGGTATAGAGGATATGGAAGAGGTTTGAGACTACTGAAAGTTTCAGATGTCAATATAAAGTCTTATAAGAAGCTACAGTATAAAAAAAAAAAAAAGAAGCTACAGTTTATGTCGATGGGGAAAAAGATCTATGTACATATATTTATAGGTTTAGTATTAAGGAAGCAAATGGACATTGTGCCTCTACTCAAGTACTCCCTCAACATAAAACACTTTGTTCTAATAATCCAGCACTCTGAGATGCTCACCTTCCCGCTGAAGACAAAGTGGGTGCATAAGCAAATGTGAAGAAAGCTGATGATGCCTGGCTATCAAAAGATATAGCATCTGGGGTCTTAAAGGCTTGAAGATAAACAAGTGGCCATCTAACAAAAGCAAAAAAGCCCACATGGATGAAGCACACCAACCTGTGTGATCATGAGGTGTCGATGGGATCAGGTATCAGGCATCAAAAACCCAGAGCAAAAAATCATAATGTGAATGGGGGCAGGGGTGGGTGGGTGGAAGGGCAGAGTGGAGGCCCAAAGTCAATCTGTAAGCAATTGGACATCCCCTTACAGAAGGGCCATGGAAAGAAGAAGAGTCAGTCAGGGTGCAGGGTAGCACCGATGATACATGCAGCTTGCCTCTGGTTGTTTAATGCTTCCTCCTTCACACTATCATGACTCTAATTCTACCTTACAAATCTGGCTAGACCAGAGCATGTACATGGGTACAGATAAGAGCTGGAAACAGGGAATACAGGACAGATAAACTCCTTGGGACCAATATTGAGAGTAGCCATACCAGGAGGGGGAGGGGAAAGTTGGGGGAGAAAGGGGAAACCGATCACAATGACCTAACTATAACCCCCTTCCAGAGGGATGGACGACAAGTGGATAAAGGGAGACATTGGACAGTGCAAGACGTGAAAAAATAATAATTTATAAGTTCTCAAGGGTTAATGAGGAGGGGGTGGTGGAATGAGGAGCTGATACCAAGGGCTCAAGTAGAAAGAAAATGCTTTGAAAACGATGATGGCAGCAAAAGTACAAATGTGCTTGACACAATGATGGATTGTGATACGAGTCGTACGAGTCCCGATAAAATGATTTTTTTTTTTTAAATAGAAGAAGCTACAGCTTCTTTTTAGAGCAAAGACTTGGGCTAATCCATCCCAGAGGACTGAACAGAAGGGATGAGGTTCAGTGAACATCTGGCCACTAGAGCAGAGGCAAGCCCTCTGAGAGAGACCCAGTCCTATTCTGTACCATACTGAGCTATCGGGTGGGTGCAGTGCGGACATTATACCTCCTTGTTAATTATCTTTGCTTCCAAGATGTGACCTAACCTAAAGATGGCCAGCCAGGCACCCCAACCAAGGCAAGATTCGAAATCTGGTATTTCTATGGCATATTAAAATATCATAAAAAAGAAACTCACTGTCATCGAGTCGATTCCGACTCATAGCCACCTTCGAGGACAAGTAGCACAGACCGCCCCTGTGAGGTCCCAAGACGATAACTCCAGGAGAACAGAAAGCCCTGTCTTCCTCCTAAGGAGCAGCTGCTGATTTCAAACTGCTGACCTTTTGATTAGCAGCCCAGTGCATGACCACTGCACCATCCGCGCTCTTAAAGTATGATCAGGGACTAACTGAATCCATGGCTTTTCTTCTTATCTTGTTCCCTTCGTGTATTCCTATATAGATTCTTATGTTCTTCCCTCACTAAAAGGGAGAAACTAAGTCACTACTCTGAAATATTGGCACAATGCCTGGCACGGAGGAGATGTCGAATGAGTCAACGTATAAACGGCCAAGTGAACAAACATCTACCAATGAATAAACATCCCCAACGTAGGCCCCGGAATGAAGAAGGCTGAGAGGTGACCCCAGCACGGCGGCTGGGCAGAGGAGCCCCACACTGTACCTCCATCAGCTGCTTGAGGGTGTTGTCACAGGCACCCAGCTTAGTCATGGCAAACGCGGTGGAGATACTCAGGGGTGACAGGAAAATGTTGTCATTGTCATTCTTGGAGTCAGCCAGGTGCTTATACAAGGTAAAGGCAAACTGAGAGTTGGCCTTGGACAGTTCCCAGACCCGCCGGTTGGTGGCCTCGGGGATCTTCTGCTCTGGACCCGCCTCTTCCGCTGCCTTCTTCTCCGGGGAGCTGTAAACGCACACGGGGTTCACAGGAATGTCCCGGGGCTTGGCCGTGCAGATGTCCCCCACGGGGCTCCAGCGGCTGGCTGCACAGGCCCAGACACCAGCCAGGAACAAGGAGAGGAGACAGAGCTTCCTGCAGAGAGAGGATGCAGAGTTCAGGGGGCCAGAACATGAACACAATGCAAACCCATTACCATTGGGTCCTTTCCAACCCCGAGGGACCCTCCAGGACCAGGTAGAGCCGCCCCCAGAGGTTGCCACGGCTGCAACTGTGGGAAGCAGATGGTCGTATTGTTCTCCGGGGAGGCGGAGTCAGTTCACCAGCCTTTCGGTTAGCAACCTAGTGTTGAACCCCAGGCTCTGCTCTGAACCGAGTCCCAGGGCCCCACCCCAAATCCAGACTCACTGCCAGCAAGTGGATTCCCACCCAGAGCGACTTTATAGGACAAAGTAGAACGGCCCCTGTGGCTTTCTGAGACCGTGACTCCTAACACGAGTGGAAAGCCTCATCTCTCTCGTGGAGTGGCTGGTGGCTTTCAACTTCTGACTGCCGTTAGCAGGCTGACCTGTAACCTCCACACCAGCAGGGCTCCTTTTTTTTTTTTAACATTTTATTAGGGGCTCATACAACTGTTATCCCAATCCATACACACATCAATTGTGTAAAGCGTATTTGTACATCATTTCTCAAAACATTTTCTCTCCATTTAAAACCCCGACATTAGGTCCTCATTTCCCCCCTCCCTCCCCGCTCCCCCCTCCCACATGAGCCCTTGATAGTTTATAAATGGGTATTTTGTCATATCTTGCCCTGTCCGACTTCTCCCTTCATCCACTTTTCGGTTGTCTGTCCCCCAGGGAGGAGGTCACACACAGTTCCATGTAATCGGTTCCCTCTTTCCTACCCATTCTCCCTTTACCCTCCCTGTTTTGCCACTCACACCACTGGTCCTGTAGGGCTCATCCGTCCCAGATTCCCTGTATTTTCAGTTCCTATCTGTACCAGTGTACCTCCTCTGGTCTAGCCAGTCTTGCAAGATAGAATTCGAGTCATGGTAGTGGGAGCAGGGAGGAAACCTTTAGGAACTAGAGGCATGTTGTATTTCTCATCATTGTTACATCGCACCCTGACTGGCTCATCTCCTCCCCGAGACCCCTCACCAGCAGGGCTCCTTACTAGGGCCCTAGAAGGAGTCTAATCCTGGACGCCTTGCAAGTAACTCTTACCACTTGTTTGGACATAATCGTATTGGAATTAGAATACACTACTACTAATCAACAGCTAGCTGTTGAACATTTTGTGTGTCCACAGCCACGTGCTGGAGGAGTGGTGGAGAACTAAAGAATGCAAAGTTCCAGTGTGCTGAGCCAGAATAGGTACACGTGAAAAATTGACAGGGAACCTTAGTGACCCGACACAGAAAGCCTTCCCCTAGAACAGGTGCCATGAATTTTTTGGTTTGGGGGTGTTTTTTTTGTTTTTAAATCATGACTTTATTGTTTTTGATACATAAGTAATACATATGAATCACAGGAGAATCAGAAACTAAAGAGCAGCAATAGTTGAAAGATATTCTCTGCAATCCACCCTTTAGTAATATTGTTGTTGGGTGCCATCGAGTCAGTTCCGACCCAGATGGACCGTGTGCACAACAGAGTGAAACACTGCGTGGTCCTGTGCCGTCCTCACAACTGTTCGTGCCTGAGCCCATGTTGCGGCCACCGTGTCAGCCCACCTCACGGAGGGCCTGCCTCTCTTGCTCTGCTCCTCTCCTTCACGGAGCACGGCGCTGTCCTTCTCCGAGGACGGGGCTCTCCTGACGTGCCCAAAACACGTGAGACAAAATCTTGCCATGAATTTGAACTTTTAGTGTCAAGGTCGTATCCTTTCACCGTATTGATTCAGTCTGTGCTGAGCAACTAGTCAGAGGAGCTGGACTCCTGAAGAAGAGCGCAGCATTGGGATTCGGAAAAGGCTTATTAGTAACCTGTGATATGCAGGCGACACAATCTTGCATGCTGAAAGGGAGGAGGATTTGCTCATGAAAATCAGAGACTACAGTCTTCAGTATGAATTACAACAACTCAGTGTAAAGTAAACAAAACTCCTACAACTGGACCAATAGACAACATCATCATAAACAGAGAAAACATTGAAGTTGACAGGATTTCACATTACTTGGTCCACAATCAGTAGTCAAGAAATAAAAGGATGTATTGTGTTGGGCACATCTGTTGCCAAAGACCACTTTAAAGTGTTGGAAAGCAAGGATGTCACTTTGAGAACTGAGGTGCGCCTGAACCAAGACAGTATTTTCAGTCACCTCATGTGCAAGTGGAAGTTGAAAAATGAATAAGGAAGACCAAAGAAGGATATATGTATTTGAAGTCTGGTGTTGGTGACGAATATTCAAAGTACCAACGCTGCCAGAAGGACAGATTTGTCTTGGGAGAAGTACAGCCAGAATGCTCCTTAGAAGCACGGATGGAAAGAGTTCATCACACGTACTTTGCATATGGTTTCAGGAGAGACCAGGCCCTGGAAAAGGCCATCATGCTTAGTAAAGTAGAAGGTCGGCGAAAAAGAGGAAGCCCGTCAAGAAGGTGAACTGACCCGGCGGCTGCAATATAACAACAGTCATGACGGCGGCACAGAGCTGGGCGGGGCTTTATTCTGTTCTGCATCTGTTGTCAGGGGCATAGGGTCCATTCGGACCATAGCAAACCTGTGCACAACAGGAAAAACACTGCCCTGCCCTGTGCCGTCCTCACAACTGCTCTTATTCTTGAGCCCCTTGGGGCAGCTACAGTGTCAATCCATTTCCTTGAGGGCCTGCCCTGCCTTCATTGCTATACTTCCAAGACAGATGAGTTTGTCTTTCAGCAGTCCATGGTCCTTTGAATATTCTTCTCCAGCTCCACAATTTAAAGGCATTGATGCTTCTTCAGTCTTCTTTATTCAGTGTCCAACTTTCCTATGCGTATGAGGCACTTGAAAATACCATGGCTTGGGTCAGGTGCACTATAGTCCTCAAAGAAACATCCTTGCTTTTCAATGCTCTAAAAAGGTCTCGTGTAGCAGATTCACCTAATGCAACACATCTTTTGATCTCTTGGCTGCTGCTTCCATGAACACTGATTGTGGATCCAAGCAAGACAAAATTCTTGACAACTTCAATCTTTTCTCCCTTTACCATGATGTTAACTATTGGTCCACTTGTGAGGATTCGGGTCTTCTGAGTTGTAATCCATACTGAAAGCTGCAGTCCTTGATCTCCACCAGCAAGGGCTTCAAATCCACCGCACTTTCAGCAAGGAAGGTTGTGGCATTTACATACCTCAGGTTGTTAATAAGCCTTCTTCTGACACTGATGCCACGTTCTACTTCACATAAGGCGGCTGCTCTGGCGATGTGCTCAGCATACAGATTGAATAAGTATGGTGAGAGGATATAACCCTATCACATATCTTTCTTGATTTTAGACCATGCAACATTCACTTGTTCTGTTTGCATAACTCTCTCTTAATCCATGTACACGTTCCACATGAGTACAATGAAGTTTCTGGAATTCTTGCTCTTTTCAAGGCTCTCCATAGTTTGTCCTGGTCCAAACAGTCAAATGCCTTGGCATAATGAAACACAGTAAACCTCTTGCTGAGAGTCTCTGTTTTCAGTCAAGATCCAGGTGACATCAGCAGTGACATCCCTTGTTCCATGTCCTCTTCTGAATCTGGCCTGAATCTCTCGCCGCTCCCTGTCAATGTAGTCCTGTAACCATTATTGGATGATCTTCAGCAACATTTTACTGGCATGTGATAGCAATGATATTATTGTTCTATAGTTTGAACATTCTGAAAATATGAATCTCTTCCAGTCAATTGACCAGGTCTTTCAAATTTCCTGGCATAGATGAGTGAGTACTTCCAGGGTATCATCAGCTTATTGAAATATTTCCATTGGTATTCAGTCAATCCCTGGAGCCTTGTTTTTGGCTAATGGTTTCAGTGCCTCTTGAACTTCTTCTTTAGCACCATTGGTTCTTGCTCACGTGCTGCCTCCTGAAAGGACGGACTGTCGACTAGTTTTTACGGCACAGCCGTGTTGGGCTTTCTTTCCATCTTCCTTTGGTGCTTCCTGCATAATTTACTATTTTGCCAATAGATGGTTTCAACATTGCAACTCAACGCTTGAGGTTTTTCTGGAGTTCTTTGTTTCGGCTATGCTGGCAGGTTCTTCCCTTTTGGTTTTCGAATCCTAGGTCTTTGTGTATTTCGTTATAATATTTGGCTTTGTCTTCTTGAACTGCCCTTGGAAATTTCCTGTTCAGTTCTTTGACTTCATTTCTTCCATTTGCTTTAGCTACTTTACGATGAAGTGCAAGTTTTAGAGTCTCTTATAACAACAACTTTAACCTTTTCTTTATTTCCTGTATTTTTAATGGCTTTCTGCTTTCTTCATGAATGATGTTCTTGATGTCCTCCGACAGCTCATTAGGTCTTCTATCATTAGTGTTCCTGAAATGTTCTTGAAATTCAGGTGGTTTAGACTCAAAGTCATGTTTGGGTTTGATTTGTTTGAATTTTCTATTACTTTATCCTGAGCATACACATGAGCAACTGATGGTGTCTTCGCCAGTGGGCCCTGGCCTGGGTTTAGCTGCTGATCTTGAGCCTCTGCAGCAGCTCTCCCACAGACGTCATCGATTTGATTTCTTTTCTATTCCAGCTGGGGAAGTCCACGTGTGGCCTTTTCCGTTGTTGGAAAAAGGTGTTTGCTATGAACAAGTCATTGGTTTTGAAAAATTCTATGAAGTGCTCTCCAGTGACATAGCCTCCAGCATCACAAGCCCACACGCCACTACAGTCCAACAAACTGACAGACAAGTGGTGGCTTCTTTTCACAGAGCTGCTTTCAGTGGGAACTGACTCGGCTGGCACTTCACAAGAGCCTCCTAAACTGTGAGCAAATAAGTTTTTGTTTGTTACGGCCACATCTATCTATTTAGCTTAGAAAAAACCTAGAGAGTCACTGTGAGTGGGAAATTCAAAGGCATCGAACGTCAACAAGAAGAAGGAACAAAGGGGGCAGAGAGACCATCAGTGCACAGGAAACCCCCGGACGCCTCGTTCTAG